CTCCTAATTTTGCTTTCAAGGCAGCTGCCCTCCCTACTCTCAGCCACTTTTCTCTGGGCTGTCAGGTCACAGCAAGGCTGGCTGTGGGCAGCGCTGGTGTGGAAGGGCCATGCCACCACAGGACCAGGCAGGTGTCACTTCCCAGTCCACCAGCTCTGGCCGCCAAGTGTGGAGGCAGGGGCTGGGGGCAAGGAGTGGAATCAAAAGGGCAGCTGAAGGCCAGGGAGCCAGTAGCAAAGGGAGGGGCGAGAGGGACCAGAATTCAAGGCATGTGAGGGTTAGAGGTCAAACAATCGAGATCAATCACCCTAAGCAAATGTGAGAGGTGTGGAAGAGAAGCTGCTTACATCCTTCCCAGAGAAGCGAGAAAAAAGTGATGGCTAACCTTCACACGGCACATCCATGTGCCTGAGGCTGTTTTAAGATTTTTACATTCTCATGACTCTCACCCACAGTATGTATGTATGTATTACTATGCCCATTTTACAGACGGGAAGACTTACAGCACAAGAGGTTAAGGAACTCTTCAGGGCCCCCCAGCATGGCTGAGTCAAGGCCTGAATTCAGGCAGCCGGCTCGGGAGGGCTCCCACCCTCAGCTGCCTGACCCGGGGAAGGAGGTGGACCCACTACCGAAGATGGTGTCCAGCCAGTGCCAGACTCCCTTCTCCATCCTCCTCGAAATGACAAGGATCAGAGGCACTGTGTTACAGAAGGAAAAGTCTGTTTGGCAACTACAAATTTGTAACGTGCTGATATGATCAGAAGGTTTCCAAGAAGGAAGCAGGTAGAGCAGCCTCCCTGCAGTCCGCGTATCCATTTGCATAAGAAATTAACCTGAGCCTCCAAGAAAAATGGTGAAGTCAAAGACATCACTTGTCTCACCCTGCTGCTCTCCCCTCAGAGTCATGTGGCTGCATCCCTGCCGTAAATCAGAGGCCAAGCTCCCCTTTCATCAGATGCCTACAGATAATTCCCTTGCGACTTCCCTGCTGGGGCTCAGGGGGCCACAACCTAAAGGGTTAACATCTCATTTCCTCTCATCTTTCAAGCCTTAATCCCCATCCTGCGCTGGGTGCATTCCAAGCCCACCTGGAGCAGGTCATGACGAGCCCCAGCCCACGGCTGGCCCTTCATTTCCCCTGGCAGGAGATTAGATGGGGCGCCCAATAATCACTCATTATTTGGGTCCTTGCTGCTGGCCAGCCCTAGGGCAGACGGCCAGCTGTCTGGGAGGGTTGCCCAGCCCAGGTCCTGGGCTGCCTGATACCACCCTTCTGGGACAAGTGCAGTGTAAGCAGGCTCTCCGGACCACGCCCGAGAGGAGAGGGGTTAAGGGAGAATGCTGCCGGGGTACTGCTCAGTGATGTGCTTGAGTAAGGCTCATGCGAGAAGACAGCATGCACAGTACGTTCAGGGAAAGGATTAGGGAAAAAGGAAAAGAGATAAGCAGAAAGGGACCACTCTCCCGGGCCAGGTAACCATCAATAAAAGCAAACTGCTGCCTACCTGTTTCTTAGGTCCTTCTTGGAGGAAACTAAAGGGAAATTGTAGGAAGGAAATGGAGAGGGAAGAGGATGTTGAATTGATAATTCTTCTTGATCATTATCATCATCATCATCACTATTATTACTGCACAGCTAGGGCTGTTCATTTCCTGGGTTTGAATTAAGGTTGCAATATTCAGCCCTTCAGACACAAACCCCCTGGACCTGAGGGGGCCTGAGACGACGTACTTTTTCTAGAGCTCATATATTGAGCACCAACTGCCTGCCAAGCGCTGACTGGGTACAGAGCAGTTAAATGGGATGAAAACTGACACCGGGCACCCACTTTGCTTAATGCCCCATGTGCCTGTGCACCAGTCCCTACACAAGCCCTCTAGGATGTGGCCATCCTTTGTTACAGATGGGGAAACCAAGCCTCGAGGTGGGAGGGTGCAAAATAAAGGCCTGTAGAATGAAGGAGATGTGTCAATGACCAGACCCCACTCTGGGGAAGGAGGTGGGACTCACCACGCCCACACGCTCAGCCCTCTTTGGGGAGTCCCAGTCCACTGTCACCTCAGGCAACTCGGGTCTCCAAACCAATCCACCCTGGTCCCTCTCCCTCAGCACATGCTCAAGCCCAGAAATACATTCACAGTGAGCCTGATGGGGAGAGGTGCGGAGCATGCTTTCAGGACTGAACTGAAGACCCCTTTGACCAAAAGAGGGCTCTGCTCCATGGCTCACTCCTTAAGAGTCAAGGTCAAGGCCTCTGTTGAAAAGGACTGTGCTACCTGGGATCCAGTGGCTCATTAACTCACCACCTGTCATTAGAACCTCATTGTAAAGGCAGCCTAGGGCAGTGGTCCTCAAACCTGAGCCGTGCAGAATTACCTGAGGCTGTCTTTAAAATGCTCGTCCCCAGGCCCTGCCTCCACCCTGGAATCTGTTTTTTTCCCCCACCAGATCCTAATTCTGATTCAGGTGTTCTGAAAACAACCCTTTCAGGAAACAGGGATATAGTGGAAAGAGCACCAGACTTAGGAAGCTGGGTTCTAAGACTCAGATTCCAAACCTGAGTTGTTGACCTCAGGCAGGTAAGCGGAGTTTCCTTCCTCATAAAATGCAGGTGATACTGTTCCTGTCACAGGTTGCTGGAAGGATGAAAGCATCAAGCCCAGCACACACAGGGCTCATTAAACTTGACCTGAAAGAATTCATCAGGCCAGCAAGGCTCCAAAAACCGGAGAAGTCAGTTTTGATGGGTTGGAGAAAGAAAAGAAGGCAAATCTGGCCCAAGATGAGGGGTGGCCCGGCATCAGCGCACAGGTCAAGCAGAGGGGAGTGAAGAGGGGGGATCCTGAAAGAGGGCAAGAGTCAGCAAAGCAGCCTCAAGGCAGAGCCTCGCACTGAAACTCCCCTCCCAGTGGCAGCCTGGGCCCTGTTAGCAATTGGCACAGCATTTCTAAACCATTACCTTCAAAGAGAAGCCAGGCGATAAACACACGTGCAACCTTTAGATCTGCACATATGTAAATAAATATCACAACTCTGCACACACACACAGAGAAAGATAAAAGGTGGGACAAGTGGGGAGAAGAAGAGAAAGCAGGGAAAAGTAGGATGGAAGGTCAAAGCCAGTCACATTTTCAAGTTCGCTGGTGCTGGCAACGTGCTGGAACTGTGCCCCACGGCCCGGGAGAGGCCCTAGGAACAGAAACCCAGGAGCTGCTCTGGAGAAACTTTGGGGTGGCTGGGGAGATGCGGCTTGCCCACTAGGACATGTCCAGGCTGAATACAGAGACCGTGCAAAGAATGCAGGGGAACACATAAAATGGGTTCATGGAAGAGAGGAATGGGCATGTGCAAGAAGGGCTGGGATCCACTTCCTGGCAAAATTTAGACCAGCAGAGGGGAAATCTGCATTTCTGAGCTGCTGGGTAGGGGACATACAAGGCCCCGATAAAAAGAACAGGTAAGTGGAGTGAAGGATTTCAGGCAGGGAAGAGCTGGGCTGCTCTTGGATCAATAAAGTAGACTCAAATTAAGGCAAGTTTGAAACATCCAGACGAAGAATGGCCTTGATGCCACCGTGTCCATACGAACACTTTCACATCTCTAGGTCTTTGCTCAAGCTCTTCCCTTTGCCTGCCATGCTTCCCCTCCTTCCAGCCTTTCCCATCTCCTTGAACTCCTCCCCATGTTTCAAGGCCCAGCAGAAATTTTCCTAGCTCTTCCCACGCAGGAAAATATTTCTCCGTCATCTGTGTCTCCCTGATGCTTTGCACACTCCCAATGTTTCGCTTTGTTTTGTGGTTCTTTCTTTACATCTCTTTCTCTCCCAGGTGGCTATACATCATCTGCTAGCCTGTCAACGAATCAAGGGCAAGGATATTGTCTTGCTCTTGGTTTAAGCCTCAGCATGTTGTAACACTCCCTGACACAGCAGATCCCCAAAAATATTGGCTGGAGATGATTTAAATAGAAGTGAATGCTGGGGAGCCATTGTGATTTTTTGAAAGAAGTGATGTGGTGCAATCAGAATTTTAGGAATATTAATCTGTCAGCGTGAAAGACGATGGATTAAAATGAAGAAAGGGACTCGTGGCCAGAAGTCAAGAGGGGAGACTCTTACTGTAACGCGGACATGGTTTGAGGAGGGAGCAGAGGGAATGGAGACAGGAAAATAATTTCCTGGATACCACAAAAGAACATAGATGGGACTTGGTAACGAATTAGCTGTAAATGAGGGAGCTGGGATGCCGAGTCTGGTACCCTCAAACATAGAGACTCCCAGCCAACTGGGAGAAAGGTGGTACCATGGAGAGAAACGTTGGGGGATGGAAAAGGATAGGCAATCAGTACCCAGACTCTCTTTAGGATAACTGATCACAGTCACAATAAGCATTCTAGGTCAACAACAACCCTCCGAGTCAAAATATCCAATCCTGATCTTATGCAAACTCTAGGCTGTATTTTATTTATTTTTTCCTAACAGCCAACTGGAACCACTTCTACATGGCAGGGAAGCCTGAAATGAAGATAAGACCAAGCTGGCACCCTGCTGGGTGCTGGGCATGGAGGAGACCACACAAGCTCATCTGGCCAGCCCTCCCCACAAGAGGCCACCCGAGTTGCTTGTTCACTAGCGCCTCCAGTATTCTGATCACCCAAACTTGTTTCCGGGACCTCTGGGAAATCCCTGTTCCAGCCCTGCAACGGTTTATAGGAAAGTCCCAGGACTCCTGTCTGCTTCCTTGCATTAATTTCAGGGCTAGGATTTTGTTCTCTAAAGGAATTCAACTATGGTACCAACAAAAATCTATAGGAGTTGAGTAGCACTGTATTTAAATCACCTTTTTAAAATGTTTACTTCTTTGTATTTTGAGACCCAATAAAGTGCCATTAAGCCCAACCACTTCATCACTTTTATCAATGAAGCAGAAGACACACGCAGATTATACAGGTTTTAAGAGCTGTGTGATCTTTGAAAAATCTTTAGACTCTTTTGTACCTGGGTGCCTTCAGCTGCGAAAGGACAGTTGGAGGAGATGATTCCGCAGACCTCTCTCAGGTCTCTATGTTTCTTTTTCCAAATTCCAACAGGCATCACAGGATCGCTTTGGCTACCCAGGACCAAGGCTTCAGATTCACTTACTGCCTGCCAAGGGACAAAGGGCTGCGCGGTGGGGGTCACTGAGGAGACAGGAAGAGAGGCAGGCACGCACACTCGCCAGGCACGCACACTCGCCAGGCAGTAGTGGAGGCACGCGCAGGGGGGTGGGGCGCGGGTCTGGCTGTGGACTGCTTAAGGAGACCCCACAAATTCCCGATGCTAAGTGGGCCTGAGAACGACCTGAAAGCCTCTTCCCAACTTAGGGCTGATGTTATTTCAAAGAAAAAAATATTAACTTCCAGATAGCTCCAGTGTGGGCTAGTTCTGTAAACGCTAATTCTACAAGCGCGCCAAGGGACTGCAGGTACTTGGGCTACACTTGAGGAAGTGTCCGGAGTTGGCGGAAACCGCCCATCCACTCCGGCTCCCAGAGGCGCTAGGTTGCAGCGGTTTAGCTGAGACACACACACAGAGATGTGAGGCTTTCTAGAAAACGATGTGGCCGAGGCCCCAGGCTAGGTCTCGACGCGCGCCGACCGAGACTCGACCAGCTCTCCGGCCCCGGGCAGGAGGTTGGCGAGGCTAGCGTGGGGTCGCGCGGGCTGGGTGTTCACTCGCCAGTCCCCAACTGCCGCAACCAAGAGAGCTCGGGGCCCCGACTCCAGGACGGCCAAGGTTGACTGTCCCAATAGTTTCCAAGTAGGAGGGTGGAGGGGTGAGTGCTGGCGCTGGGACGGAGCAAATCCCCCAGGAAAAGAAGACAGAAGGAGGCGCAGCCGTCGGCACGAACTAGGCGCGCGCTGGCTCCCTCAGTCTGGTTCGGACGCAGCCCCTCGGCGCCCCCGACACACCCACTGCGCCCCGCCACCCGCGCCAGCCCGCCCGGCGGTCCTGAGGGGGCCCGAGAGGCTGGCAGCGGCCGGGCCGGGTCGTGACCCCGCAGGCTGGGCGCAGAGGGCGCGCGGCGCGGGCAGCTCGGCTCACCTGGCGGTCCGTGTCCCGGAGCGGCCGGTGGCCGCCTCGCCTCGCCCCCGCGTGGTTCCCGGCGCCGGGCAGCCCCGAGCGCGCCGCATGGACGGCCGCCGCCGCCGCCGCCGCCCCGCGCCCGTCCTGCACGGGCTCCCGCTGCGCCCGGGTTCCGCGTCGGGCTGCGCGGGCGGCCAGAGGCTCGGGTGCGCGCGGAGAACTCTGGCTCTGAGTTTGCGATCCCGAGAGCCGGGATCCGCGCTCCCTCAGTCCCTCCTCCCTCCCCCACTCTCGGCCTCCTGCTGTCATCTGGAGCCGCTCCTGACGCCCCCTGGCGGCCGCCTCGGGAAGCACCGGCCCCTAACCCACCTTCACTCACCACAGGGGCCCCTTAACGAGGACGAACGCCACAGATCCCTCCCTGGGTGAGAGCGGACAGACATCATTCTGTAGAGGGGAGGACAGTCTAGACCGAGGAAAGGAGGGAGGAGGGTGGCGAGATTGGAAGGAAGAGCGGTCCGGGCTGGCCAAGTAAGAGGAAAAAGGGGTGAGACCAGGAGGTAATTAAACTAGGGCCAGATGGTGGAAGGCCTTGAATTCCGCGCTAATCTTATCCTGAGGTTTGTGGGAGCCATTGAAGGGCCGAGGCACAGGAGGGACAACCATTGCGTTTTGGGACAACCTTGCGTTTTGGGACAGGAGGGACAACCATTGCGTTTTGGGACAACCATTCTGGCTACAAGAGGATGAGGATGAGGCTGAAGCAGGGAGCCAGCAAGAAAATTTTTGCTGTAAACAAGAGCGGAGAAGAAGGCAGTGACTATAAGGGCAGCGACAGAAGAGCCCTCCTGTAAGGGGCGCACAGTCACACGCGCACACTCACACAGAAGATAATACTCACTGGGCTCCTTCTAAAGGCAAGGGACAAAGGACAAGAGCCCTCCACATTCTAACTAGGGTTAGACAGCATGGGGGAGAGAGAAAACTCGCTTCTGACAGCCAGAGGGATTCAGCATTTTTCTTGTCTTAGGGTAATACTGTATCCCCACACACAGAAAAAAACCTGCTGCAAAACAGTAATAATAAAAATCAAACTTTGATCTGTATATCCAAGCCCTTCTTTTTACTAACTGGCAAATATCGTCCCAGGGAGGGCATGACCAAAATAACCCAGCTAGCTAATGGCCGGAAAATTACTAGAGCCCAGTTTCTTGGTTCCTAATGCAGTGCTACATTCTTTCAATTCAAATGGAGGCGTTTAAAGCTAGTGAGGTAGGAAATAGAATGACTGTGAGAAAATGTCCCTCCTCTCCCAGGAGGGGGTAAGGGTGACCTTAAATATTTGAAGAGGTTGTCCAGATACAGGTAGACTCCCTAAATGAGTCAGCCTGTTTGATTACGACTGCCTCCAAAGCCTGCCTGCAGGAGTTGTTTTGAAAGTGCAGGTGCACGAGTGGGACAATGAAGGTGGCAGTAGAATGTAAGCTCCCTGCCCCAGAGCCAGGCCGATCCAGGGACGGGTGTGGTATGTGGGAGGAGAAAGGAGAGCAGCAGGGCAGATACCTCCAAGGGAAAAAAAATAACAAAAGAGATTAGGCCAAAGAAAATCACCAACTTTGAGTGCCGACTACTGGCCTGGAGCCTGGGCAGAGCCAGTTCTCCCTGATTCAAGCTAGTTCAAATAGGATGAAATAATTCCATACTCGCTCACACAGATTTTGATTGGTGGCTCAGTGGGATGAAATGAATTCTGAGTGTCATGAGTCCCTTGGGTCCAGATTAAGTGGCTCTAACAGCTCTGACCAGTTTAGACCATTTAAAATGATAGAAAAATTATAAAACATTGGGATATACTTAATGTCCCAATGAACTGGACACTTCAAATGGTTAAAATTATGTAGTGTATATTTTACCACAATTTTTAAAAAGAAAAATATAACTAATAAAACTTCAAAATGGATTGATTTATTAATTTATTGAAGAGATATGTACAGAGTGCTGAGTAGGGCCTTGGTACTCAGAGGTAAATATAAAATGAAGAAAATATTCCAGTCCAAAAGACGCTCAGAGAAAGGCGAGAAAGGTGCAGAATAGAAAATCATACTGGTAGGTGGTAGGTATAACTGGGGCATCTGCAGATCCCCAACTCATGAGAGGGGATCGGAAATCCTGGGATGTTCTGCCTGAGCTGAGCCTTAAAGGATGAGGGAAGTTCTTCAGGCAGGCCATGGTATAAGCAGGGCTTAGGAGCCAAGGATATGGAGTTTTTTAAAAACTAATTTTAGACATACAGACAAGTTGCAAAAATAGTACAAAGAATTCCCTTATATTCCCACCCTTCTGCCCTTGATGTGAACATCTTACATAACCAGAGTGCAATTTTTATTGACCAAACTTAATCCAAGTGACCTAAGCTGGCTTTTCAGAGCTGATTCTGATCTACTTCAAACTTGTTCAAATAGTTGTGACCACATTTTGCTTACATGTCACAGAGTGTTCTCTTTTTTAAAGTCAAGACTGTGAAATCTAGTCTCATTTTAAACAGAGATATTTACATTCTGTATAGACACAAGAGAATATTAATTATACAAAGTCAGCAAGTTTTAAATCTTTCAGTCCTGTTGCATTTCTACTTTTACCCAAGCGTATGGGTGTGCATGCATCAGATTGGCAGAATTTGGTCCTCATGTATAAACAACTAACCCTCTCTAGCAGAGAGGACATAGCAGAGTGGGTGCCTCAGATCCCAGTCACAGGCCACCCCGCGGTCGTCCAGCTCCCTGGCATGTCAGTGTCTTCTGTACACAACATCTTGGAGGGCAGGTTGTCAGTTACCCTCGTGCATATCTGCAGTGTTAAGGTGCTCACTACTCATAAAATAGCCCACACTGTTGTTGGAGACTTTCTGTTACAAAGCCCCCTCTAATTGTTAACTGAAAGCTTTTTCCTGTGACGACTGCCCATTGGCCGTAGAAGTGGCTCCTAAGCTGAGAAACAAAAATCATAACCCCTCTGTCAGCTCCACATATATAGGGCAGCCCTAGTTTCCACCTGCTGCCACGTATAATTAGGAATAATTAGTGCCCCCTTCACTCCACTGTCCAGGTTGCTATGATAGACGACCTGGTCATCCTGCACAAGACTGCCACCACCCCACCTCACTAAGCCTGCCCCCTGCCCAGCACCACATGCCCAGCATCCCACCATTCCTCCTGGGGGTCCCCAGCCTGGAGCATAACATCGGCACTAGTGAGGACTTCCTAATGTTGGGGGACCGATGGCATACTGCTGAGAGCGGCTTCCTGGGATTTCAGAGCATATGGGACTGGAATGAGAGCCCAGTGTGAACAGATTGCAGGAAGGCAGCTTGGGACAACCGGACCTTTTGGGGGGAACATATGAGTAACACAGCTTCTGTACTTCACTAATAAGTACTGACCAGGAATCCTTTTACCAGCAGACTATTTCTTGGGGCTAGAGTTCCAGAAGTTACGCTTTGAAAAAATACTGCTCTCTACTCTTGACAAACACTAATGTTTTCATCCTAATTGGCATTTCTGGGGGTTGTGTCCCAGCAGGGAAGAAAACCCCTCCATTATCCCTTCTTTGTTAACATTTGGAGGTGGAAGGGAAGCAGACATGTAGTCCAACCCCTAATTTCAGGCTCCAGCAAGGTACCGGGTACCGGGAATAATGCAAAATCGTTCTCTTCATTTTCTTGGTTGTGAACGTTTGTAGACTGCAAAGTCAAGGCAAGCTTGTGCCCAGTGAATAATAAGGAAATAAGGGAAGCGTGATTTAAACAAAACAAAATAAAACAAAACAGAACACCACGACACAACAGAGTCCCTCGCGAGCTGGTAAACATGTAGTTTTAAGCTGCTTCTGAGAACCTTGCTGTGAGTGTTAAGAAGCCTTCCCTCCCCTGCTTGCCTCCTTAACTTACTTCTTTCTCTTCCTCCTCCAGGGCATCTGGGGTATGGACCTAAAAACCGGGTTCCTCCCGAGGGCCTGCCTGGGGCTGGCCCCCACTTGGCCTGTAAGAGAATAGCTGTACCACAAGCTCAGAGGACAGCAGTAAAATGACTTCTCGATGGAATGTCGGTTTCCGATGAAGTGTCCTCAGGGAGTCTTCAGGCTATGTTCAGGTTATCTAATTCCCCTTACCTCTCGTACTTCACTCTCATTCCCTTTCTTGTCTCATGGCCAGAAAGAGGAGATAGGAAGCCTCAAGTTACCTGGTACAAGACAACTTTTGGAATCCCAAATATTTAGATTATTTCTCTTTTCCCTCTTTGCAAGCGGTAATACTCACAGCTAAGAGGCATCACCCAGGTTGAAGCCGCTTCTGTCCAGGAGCAGCAATGCGGAGCAAAGTAGAAGGCGGACATCACAGCCTCCGGATCCACAGGCTCCCTTTCTCCTTCTGGCAAGGGATCCACAGGCTCCCTTTCTCCTTCTGGCAAAGAAAATGGAGAGCGATGGAAGAAGTCCGTTTGCTAGCGCCTGCTCCTCTCACACATGATTGGTCATTCTTTCTTTCATCCATCCAACCTATACTTATTGAAGCTGACTATGAATGATCGAAGGGAGGATGAGAAACGTTAACCAAAGTCAAAAGGGGACAGGGTGGGAGAGATTGTTCTAGACAGAAG